CACATTCCTGTCCCAATGAGCTTATCTAGTGTCAGTATCTGTTTCCAAGTATCATTGTCCACTAAAAAGAATCAGGGCTCCTTAGAGAAACAACTGATTCCCCGAATAGAAAATAAAGTGGAGCTGAAATATCTTTTGTGCCATAAAGTAGAGATGCTGAAAGAATGACGAGGACATGTCAAAAAGACACAGGGCTCCTACTAAATCTGTGCATCAAAATAAATAATGATAGTAATGGGTTAAATAGGAATCCATAAATCCATACTAATAAATTGAATAGGTTTAATGCTAACTAATGAATTGTAGAAGGAATGATGGAATTAGCAACCATCAGCAATTTACCCAGGAAAGAATCACCAATGAATGTTAAAAGGAGTTGGTGAAAATATATTATGGAACAGAACATTTACATAGTCTCAAAGTATTTCCCCACAAAACATTTATTAATTGTAAAGTGAAAGAAAAGTAAGTCTAGAGTGGAGAAACCTGGCATCACCAGCTTCATCAAGTGATCAAAGTTAATCTCACCAGTAAGGACCAAATCAACATAACGTATTCCCTTACACATTACATTAACAAACATCACTTCTATGGTATTTCTGCCAAAAACGTATATGTGGAAATGCCAAACATTGATTGAGGGGCAAAGTAAAGAAGAGAAAAGCTGTATTTGGAGAATAAAACATGCCCATAAATGCAACTTGTATCCTTTTTGCTATCCAAGACATAACTGAAAAAATTGGCAGACTTTGAATGAAGTACATACATTAATTTCATGAATCTGATAGTTATGTTGAGAGTGCCCTTGTCTTAGAAAATATACACTGAATTATTTAAGGGTAATAGGACATCATGTTTACAACTTACTCTTAGTTCAGGAAAAATATAATAACATTGTGTGTGGGAGTGTGTGTGTGGGGGGGTGATACCAGGGAGGGAGAGAAGAAGTGCATGATAAAGCAAATGCAACAACATTTTATCCATTAGAAAGCCTGAGTAATATGCATATGGGAAGTCTGCACTCTTCTGTGCCTTTTCCCTAAGTTTGAAATTATTTCAAAATTAAAAAACAAAAACAAAATGGTGAGGGAAATGGAGTATATGCAAAGACAATTTAACTGTTTTCAATAATTATGCCAATAGGTAGTATTGGTAATGTTACTCTGAAACTTTTATGTATATGATGTAGCATAAAGCAGATAAATAATTATGACATATCTATCCTTTACCATGGCCTTAAGAAACAATTATTACTATGGAAGGAATTGTTTCTGTACACTGAAAAAGCCCAGAAACAGTAAATAATTTAGTACCCACAGTACTCTTAATGCCAGATCGTGATACTAAAAACCCCATTTCTCCACTAAAAGAAACTACGACTTACTGGAAATATAGTTGATTCCAATTTCTAGTACAGGAAATGTACTAAAGTAGCTCAAAACAATACTATATTGAAGAGCAAGGTAACTACTAAAAACCACTGGGCGTGTGTCCAGTACTCCAGAGCTAACCTAAGGGGATCCCATTGTTTTTGGAAAATAAAAAGAATCAATTCCTTTCCTTGAAAACTGATCAAGGCAATCAAGCACTTATCCCACTTTTCCTATATGAATTACACCACTGTGCAACTCTAAGACAGGTGAGGTGGAAGTGTTTCTTTATAGAAGTATTTCAGCTAAATTATTTTTTAAAATTATGAAGCCAGATATGAAAGTGGTTACATGTGTTTAGTATTTACAGGTGGCCACAAAGTTCCCTTGCATGCTAGTTAGAAGTTATCTGTACATTGCCTTTCATTCTTAGCACAAACATGTTTTTTTTACACCTTCTATGTTAATAGCTACATGCTGAATACTACACTAAAGCAGTATCATATAGTTGTTTCAGATTTTCAAAAGCAATTATGATACTGAAAAGTTTTCTACAATTTCACACATAAAGATTGGGCTTCACAATGACTATGTTGCACATGCGCTCACACCAAACACTAGTTCCACAGAGTTAAAATTTGCACAAGTTCCATTACCTCTGGGTCTCAATATCCATTTCTGTCATCTTAAAAATGGAATCAGCAAGGTTTTCTGTACTAGTAATCACTGGATCCAATGCCTGAGAAGGTAATATAATTCAGTTCAAGTACTGCCAGAATTTTTAATACATTGGATTTTCTTGATTTACTAAATATCTTAGCTATCCCATGAAATCTCATTTACAATAATGTGCAGTATTACAAACATTGGTTGGGCAAATACAGTGATTATGAACCAGATTACATTTACTTTTGGTTTAAACTATCCAGCCTTATTTTATGCATTCACTTTCTAGACATACTGCTTTGCCTGGAGTTCGATGTAATCTGCATTAAGTATACTCCATATTAAGAACCAGTGAAAGGCCCGGCCAGCGTGGCTAGGTGGTTGAGCATTGACCTATGAACCAGGAGGTCAAGGTTCAATTCCTGGTCAGAGCACACGCAAGGTTGTGGACTTGATCCTAAGTGTGGCATGCAGGAGGCAGCCAATCAATGATTCTCTCTCATCACTGATGTTTCTATCTGTCTCTCCTTCCTTCCTCTCTGAAATCAATAAAAATATATTTTGAAGCAGTGAAAAGTATATACAATATTAAAAGTATTTATGTGGATATCCAGAAGTGAAAAACCAAGGTCTGATTTTTATTTTTTGCATTTTATAAATATAATTTTGGGTCCATTAAGCAGACATCTCTATATATAATCCTGGATGAGCAACATATATGGCCCCTGGATTCTCCTTCCCTCCTTTATTCTCAACCTCTTCAAAATTTCCTGCATTCACTAAAAAAGGCACTTGAGTCACCCATTCCATGGGCCTCATTCTGGACCCAATTATCACCCAATGTGTGAAATCTTTACTTTAGATGAAAATTATTTAACATTGTTTAAACACCAGAATTGCAAACGGAATACCATAACAAAAACTCATCATCTAGATTTAACAAATATAATAATTGGGTCATATATGCTCCAAATTTTTTAATGAAATAAATATTACAGATATATTTGAAACCTCCTTTGTTCCCATCTAAAATCTCATTTTTCTCCCTCATTCCATAGATAATTATATTTCTAGAGGTGACAGTATATTCCCATTCAGAATTTATGCTTTTACTACATACATGTGTATTATTTTACATCTTAAAATGTGCATATATTGTGTGGTGTAAGGACTGAAAACTAGATCTATGTAAGAGACTAAAGGGGCCAGAACAGCCCAAGCTTCTATTAAAAAATTGCATATGACATAGGTTGGTTTAGATATAGCCAGGAAAAGATGAACTGAGTGTTTAATAAAAAGTTAGGGGATAACTGAACACCCATTAAAAAAAAAAACTAGAGGCCTGGTGAACGAAATTTGTTCAGGGGGGTGAGGGGGTGGAGGTGGTTCATCAGCCCAACCTGCACCCTCTCCAATCCGGAACCCCTTGGGGGATGTCCAACTCCCAGTTTAGGCCCGATCTCTTCACAACTGGGACTGCTGGCTCCTAATTGCTCACCTGCCTGCCTGCCTGATCACCCCTAAATGCTCTCCCTTGCCAGCCTGATCACCCCTAACCACCTCTGCCTCGGCTCCTGCCACCGTGGCTTTGTTCGGAAGGACACCCGGAAGATCTCCAGTTTATCTGGTATAATTAGCATATTACCCTTTTATTAATATAGGTAATCCTGAAAAATAATATCTAAAGGATTAATTGAAAGAGCAAAATTTCAAAATTTTAGAAAAAAATTTTAACAGTAGAAATTGATTTCTTAAACCAAGTACAAATGCACAAAACACAGAAGAAAATACTGCAAAGTTTAGTTATATTAAAATTGGAAACATTTGCCGAAACCGGTTTGGCTCAGTGGATAGAGCGTCGGCCTGCTGACTGAAAGGTCCCGGGTTCGATTCTGGTCAGGGGCATGTACCTAGGTTGCGGGCACATCCCCAGAAGGAGGTGTGCAGGAGGCAGCTGGTCGATGTTTCTCTCACATCGATGTGTCTAACTCTCTATCTCTCTCCCTTCCTCTCTGTAAAATATCAATAAAATATATTTTAAAAAAATTGGAAACATTTATATGAAAACACACCATAAAAGAGGGGGAAAGACTAGTTATGAATGAAAAGAAGCACTTGCTACACATATATCAATAAAGGATGAGTATTCACAATACGGAATAGTCCTATAAGCTAGTAAGAAAGACATAAAAAATATAGTAGGAATTAATGGGCAAATGGCTGAAATAGGCAAGTCATAGAAGAGGAAGCTGGAATGGCCAATAAACAAAAGACAGATATTCAAATAAATTAAAACAAAATTTGACGTTCTTCATCTTGGAGCATGTAAAATGTAAAAGCCTGACAATTTAAAATGTTGGAAAGAAAAGGGAAAATTAGTATTGCCATTTGGAAAATAATTAGCCCATCTCTAGAGAAGCAGGAATTCATACATGTATGACTCAGTTATTCCACTTTTAGATTAGACCCTAGAAAAATTCTGGCAGATGTGTTCATGAAGATATTCACAAGGATGTGTATTGTTATATAGAAAAATTATAAATGACCTACCCATGGAGCAATGGATAAGTTGTGCCATTTACTTATTACTGAATTCTGTACAATAGCAAAAGGTAATGAATTCATATTCATTTAAAATTAAAAATAAAAGGATCCAAAAAAAAGCAAGTTACTCGAAGGTCTGTTTTTATTTAATAATTTTCTGTCACACACCTGTTATATATCATGTCCATTGTTAGCAGAATCTAAAATAAGAACACATAATTTGAAAAACAAATCCCTGCCCCCTCACAAACTAGAAGTGACTTTTATTTGTGTGATTACAGAATTAATGTGGCTCACCGGCCCTGGCCAGGTGACTCAGATGTTTCTCCCTCAAAAATAAAATAAATTTTAAAAATTTTTAAATAAATAAATATAGTTTAAGAAACAAATGTAATTTACTTCTGCTTGCTGACATTATTTTTCCAGAATATTTATATTTCTTATGTAGTAGCTACTGAGGTATATATATCAATCCTTTCAAACATAAACTAAACACATAATATGAAAATATTTGAAAGCTGTAAATTTGTTTCACTAAGTTGTTCACTGCAATAAATAAATTGTAAAATAATATTCTCAACTAAAAACATAGAAAGCAATAATATCCTAGATCCATTTGAAGATCCAGTTTTTCCTCAGGGAAAACTCTTGCCAATTTTTAAAAGTGTTTTATCAATCAGACTTCTCACCCAGCAAGAATAAAATGTACAGAGGACAAAGATTCTGGAATTTAGTTTCATATTTTTCCATTCACAGTATAAGAATAATGAACATTGAAATTGCAATGTTTTCTTTTGCCCATCTTACTATGAAAACCCTGAGTCAAACACTGAGGTATAAGGGATTTTTTTTGTTTGGTTTTTAAAGAATATATTTTTATTGATTTCAGAGAGGAAGGGAGGGGGAAAGAGAGATAGAAACATCAATTATGAGAGAGAATCACCAACTGGCTGCCTCCTGCACGCCCCCTACTGGGGCACATGCCCTTGATGAGAATCGAACCTGAGAGAGACCCTTTAGTCAGCAAGCCAATGCTCCACACTGAGCCAAACCGGTTAGGGGTCTGAGTTATAAGGGTTTGATGGTAGTCTAGAATAAGTGAAATTCAGAAATAAAAATATAAAATTTCATTTTAACCAGTAGCTTCAATTTCCTTCTACACTAAACATTCTACCAGGAGCTTACAAAAGTGTACCTGACCTTTCCCTCCTCTTAAATCTTAAATTATTCCAATAAACATCATCTAAAAATATTCAATGTAAAATACACTTTACTAAGCATTTACACATAATTTATTTCAGCTAATGTTTACATCAATCCTGTGATGTAATCTTCATTTTACACATAACTAAACAAGGCTTAGAGAAACTAAGTAACTTGTCCCTAGTTACAAAGTTGTCAAAGGCAAAGTCTGCATCTGAACTAAGGTTTTCAGACTACACCACAACTGTATACTATCACTTTATTTGGTAATTACATCCACTGCCTTATAATACATTGTACTACTTTCACTTTATATTTCTTAATTTTTCCTAAGTTCATGTCTTTAAGAGCAGTAATTGTTTTGTGCTTTAATATCTTGCAGTATCCCTTTAGTTTGTTGATTCAAGTTGCTTGTATGACAGAAGAATGTCAGACTACAAGTTGAAAAATTCTCAGGGCCTCACACTTGTAAAATAAAAATGATACCAAAATAATTGAGTGCTTACTGCGAATGCTTTCCATGTATTAACTCATTTAATCCTCACAACAGCCCTATGAAATCAGTACATTATTATCCCAGAGGAAAAAGCTAAAGGCTAGAGCGCTTCTCTAACTTGCCCTAGATTTAGGTTACAAGTTAGTAGGTGGAGAAGCTAGGTTTCAAAAGTCACGGTATTGTCTCAAGTGCACCTGTACTTGCTTAAAGTTCAAACTGTCCCTCTAGGACAGCGGTTCTCAACCTTCTGGCCCTTTAAATACAGTTCCTCCTGTTGTGACCCAACCATAAAATTATTTTCGTTGCTACTTCATAACTGTAATGTTGCTACTGTTATGAATCGTAATGTAAATATCTGATATGCAGGATGATCTTAGGCGACCCCTGTCGTTCAACAGCCAAAGGGGTCGTGACCCACAGGTTGAGGACCCACAGGCTGAGGACTCTAGGACTAGATAAGTGACTAAATGAAATGTATTCATACTGCAGGAAGAATAAAAATATTTAACTCTGGGCACTAATTTCTTAGATACAACACCAAAAGCACAGGCAATAAAAGCAAAAATAGACAAATGGGACTATACCAAACTTAAAAACTTTTGTGCATAAAAGGACACAATCAAGAGAGTGAAACACAACCTACAGAATAGGAGAAAATATTGCAAATCCTGTATCTGATAAGGAGTTAATATCCAGATTTTATGAAGAACTCCTACAACTAAAAAAATAGCCCAATTAAAAAAATGGGCAAAGGTCTTGAACAAACATTTCTCTAAAGATGATATACAAATGGCCAACAAGCGTATAAAAAGATGTTCAACACCACTAATCCTAAGA